TACTATTACGTATAGTACGTACTAGTACGTAGTAGTACTAGTATACTAGTATAGATAGTATAATATATATATATATATATATATATAGTAGTAGTAGTAGAGTAGAGAGAGAGAGTATATATATATATATATATATATATATATATATATATATATATATATATATATATATATATATATATATATATATATATATATTGCGTTTCAATACTACATTTATCGTATGCAACCAGGAGGATTTTTGTATCGTCCGGATATCCACATATGCTATTGGATCATAGACTGTAAGTCATTGAACCAAGAGTCTGACTTCTTCAAGGATAGTGTTATGGTGGATTTCCTTTTGTTTAAATAAGCAAATCCCTTATCAACCGTCAAGGTGGGTTTGCCCATGCTTTGTGTTACGCGAGATCAATCTCATTCAGAGACATAGTCGGTAGTTGTGCGTTATGTGACGCCGCAAACATAACTATGGTATGTTTGCCCAATCTTTCTTCAGCTAGTCTGAGGAAGTGTGGACGTAGCTTCTAGCCGGTAGTTGTTAGCAAATTTATTTTTTTGTGAAAGCATATCAAACACGTCATCTTTAGGGTGATTCGAATACCTATAGTTCGGTAGTTGTATGTGTTTTGTAGCCCCGCAAACATATCTATGGCATTTTTGCCCCATCCTTCGTCAGCTTGTTTATAGAAGTTTGGGTGTAGCTTCTAGTTGGTAGATAGTAGCTGTCAGTCAGTCTGTTGTTAAAGCATCTCAACCGCGTCACCCTAAGATTGTGCTCTATGTAACGCCGCAAACAGTTATATGGTACGTTTGCCCCGTCTTTCTTCAGATAGTTGGAAGTAGTGTGGGTGTAGCTTTTAGTCGGTAGCTAGTAATTCTCGGACAGTCATTCAATGCCTGGTATCAGACGTGAGAGTGTATACATGGTACATGTTCCATTGTAAAAGAGAACTGGCAGAGGCAATCACGCCATCTGCTTATCAGTTGTTTTTGCGGTATCATATCGTTAAAGCATACCAAAGACTTTTGGTCACAAGGCACTTTAAAGTGCATGCCGATAGACTTTAAAGTGCTCCAAGAAAATAATTTGGCAAGAAGTTATTGCTTTACTTTGGGGTAGTTACGCTAATCGAGGCTTAATGTCTAATACTTAGTAGAGTACACCTCCCACAACATTGTCAGATGCGTCTTTGGCTAGCCTAGAACTATTCGGTTCGCTGGTCGTCGTATCACAGGTGTATACCATTCAGCGGTTTAACCTTTTTGAACACGTCTTTGCATTCGGCTGTCCATAAGTCATATATTGCATTCGGCTGTCCATAAGTCATATAGCTTGCCTTTGTGTAAAGGAAGTTGTTTTGATGTGCAGTCTTGTTACAGCTAACGTATGCTGCGTACTTGGGGTTTAGAATCATGTATAGCTGTACAGAGCCCTAGGTTCGTCCCTTGATCGGAGGTTTCCACTGTTTCGAACACAGGCCGTCGTTCTCGTTGGAGTCGGTTTTTGACTCTATAGCATTGTTCCCAGACCGAGTGGTATTTGTTTACGCGTCGTCCGTGTAGGCTTTACAAACAAGTCCCATAATACGTTCGTCAGCTTTAGTGCTGATTCAAACTTTTGTTTCAGCCACTTATACCCAGTTATGTATGGTCGTTCTGTTTATCCAGTTAGAGATATTATGCATGCACACTATCTCTGACATGTGTCTGTATTTTTGAACTCATGATTCCCTACGAAGCCTATTTCGCTTTTTGGTCATGATAAGAATGTGTGTCTTTAAAATCACGGAGTAATCTCCGCTACATTCTAATATACTTGCGAGTGATGGAATTTGTGCGTCACCACTTACGAGCTGCTGTACTTGCTCAAAGGACTACTGAGTTTTGCCCCTTCGAGGAGTTCATATGTATTTCCGTTGGCATCTACAGTATTTTATGTAGCACTGAAGTACTCCTTTGAAGGCAGGCTCACAGTACTCCAGGCGTCTCCCATGAATGATATCGAATTTGTACCCGTGTATATGTTCGTTAAATCTGTCTGGTTGTGTGACAGAGACGTAGTTAGTTCAGCCAAGACGCCTTTGTGTCCTTTTAGATCTGTAGAACATGAACTAGTTCTAGTACTATCGCTACCAGTAGTTGCGGGCTTCGGGTCAGTATATTCTACAATTCTCATGGGCATATTGTAAACTTCGATGTATATTACTATGTTTCGAACTATGTTAAATAAACTAAAATACAATTTAAGTCAGTTAGGATTTAGCAGTGGTAGCTTGTGTAAGAATGATCAGGGCTGCCTCTTGGTAAGAGCCTTAATATTCTCGATCACTCAGGACGTACCTCTAGCTGTTTCTTATTGAATTGTTTCCACTAGAAGTACTAAGTGTTCATGACCACATGCCTAAGTTGTAGATAGACATAAGAACGTAAGTCACGTTAATACATTAGCTAATATAAACAAAGTTCCATCTGAAGAAAAGTTAAAAAAGAAAAAGACTTATTGGATTTTGGAGATTGACGGAAGACTGAAACCTGTAAGTAGTAGTTCAGAGATTATAAGAAATAGTTTATAATATTCTACATCTACTAACGTCTCAATAGGTCCAAGTAAATGAGTCACACCAAATACTCAGGCCATTGGAGCCATCAAAGTGAATTTAGAACACTTTATAAATATTAGAAATAGAACTTGTATTAGAAATATTTTTAAAGATACAAATATAAACCAATGTGATATCTCATTTGATCTTGATATTTTAGACTGACCGGAGGCCGTATTTCTACTATATAATGAAGATTCTCAAAGTTCACATTGTGTTCAGACGCGTATCTACATTTATTATATTGCTCTAGATACGCCTTGTTGTATTTTTTAGAACCAATTGTATTTTTCTCAGTTATTGCGTATTCTGAGTGGTACATTCATGTCGTGTATACGTCAAGCCTTGGTAAATGCACACTTGAGTCGTCGACTCTTATCGTAGACAATGGCGAATACATTGGTTCACGACCGGAGTCAATAACCTCATCCATGGTGTATGGTATGTCATTCTTATGACCTATGTGATAGATCCTATTGCGGTAACGTCGTGGAGACTTGTGATGACGTGGCGGTTGGCTACTGGAGCATTCTCGTTCATTGAAGTGAGAAGTGGAAATAGGTCACAGCTTCACACCAGTTGTTGTTACTTCTTCTCAGACATAAACTCTGTAGTATTTTGAATCTTCCCAAGCAGTCGTTTCAACAATCGAACACAGGAGTTTTTGGGCTACACCCAGGTTTTTAGAATCACAAACATAAACTTATTTACATTTATACAAACATACCAGAATATATTTAATAATATTAATATTATATCTATATATGACACCAAAATATAATAAAGACACTTCTTCAGAAATAAGATTTATACTGTCTTTTAGGTTATGGGCCTATCTCCAGACAAATATTAACTCCACTATGAACGAAGACACTACCACTACCGTAGTACCCCGCAGCCGTTGGACCCAACTATCCATAACTGGCGACAATCATGATGATTGGCTTGGCGACCTTCCTGTCGCAGCTTCGACAGCCGAACAGAACGCCCTTCCAGCTCTCGAATACATTCAAAAAGGCCAACCAATAACCCCCCCTGGCCAGATCCCTATCGTGTACCTTCCTGCCCAGGTGCACCTCCACACAACACAGTTCCGTACCACGTCCACCGTAGATGATACCTATTCTCGCGCTCGTCAAAATCTTTTTGACTCCCTCTCTGATGAACTACGTCGCTCCCTTGACTCTGATGAACTACTGTCCGACCCCTGGACCCTCCTACAGATCCTCCGGAACATGTACTTTCACAAGTCGGCCACATGTCGCACTTCCAATCAACCTTGCTTACTTGGAGACTTTCAAGATCCACGATGACGAGAACATGCGTTCATGGACTAACCGGCGCATCAAATTGAAACGTACTGCCGCCCGTCAAGGCAACATTCTCTCCTCGGCATTCATTCAAGATGCATTTCTCTCCGGACCCGACCAAGCAGCCCAAGATCAAGCTCGTCAATTTATGGTTACAAATGACCATACCAACATCACTCTACTTCACATCTGTGAGTGGATCGAGACATGGCAACAAACCGACCCCGCCTCCGCTGGCATCGAATCCGTCTCATTTGTTCGCCGCCCCCCCCACGTACTAAATTGTCCACTGCATCATATTCTGATCTTCTGAAACACATTGACACCCTCGAACGTATCGTCGCTAAAACTCGTCCACACAATCGTGATCGTGGAGCTGGTACCCCGCGCGACCCCCCACCATGTTTCGTCTGCTGGAAAACCACTCATTTCGCCGGTGACTGCCTTGTTGGTTGTGGTCGTTGTGGCAGCCCATCCCACCGTAACGCCACATGCGACGCAGGACCATTGGCACACAACCTTTGCACTATTAAGGGTCATTCTTCGAAGGTTTGTTTCAAACGTGTCGCAAATAAATCATCTACCAATTATCCTGCCGTGATTTCCTGTATTTCTTTGCACATTGACTCTTCCCAAATGACCAATTCCTACTGATTGATGGCGGGGCTACCGTAAACTACCTCCACTCTACGGCTCGTCCATTACTTCACAACGTCGAACACGGTCAATTTCCACTCCTTTTAGCCGATGACTCTTTAACCCACGTCTCTGAACGAGGCATTCTCCCCGGACTGGGCCTTACTTATCTTAGCCCGTCCCTGTCTCAGCAAATAGTATCGCAAAATAGACTACAGGATAGCGGATACCGACTTGAATTTCCTAATAGCCGCCGTATTTGCACTATTCCCCACTCCGACTCTTCGACAACTATACCACGCACAAAAGGGGGTTATACTATCACATACGCGCGACTCAAAGCCCTAGTCGAGTCCCCACATCACACTAGATTGCTCTACAATACAGTGACATCCACATCGACACGTGCCCCACATGCCGACCCTGTCGACTCAGCCCCTGAGGACTCCGATGATGATGACATGCCTGGACTTCGTTCTGACACTGGTGATTTTTCTGACGAAGATGCCACGGACATCCCCCCCTCCTCCTCCGCTTTCTACTCCGTTACTCCCAATTGATACTCCCACCAATAAATCACCGCCCAATTTTCCAACCCAGGATATTCAACCACCAACCAAAATGACGTACGATGAATATGATCGTAACAACGGTCATCGGAGTAGAAAAACTACACTCCGCATGGCCCTCAAGGACAATGTGACACTGACACACCCCCCTCCTCCAGGTGTCACCACCGAGGATTGGATGCTCAACAAAAACGACTGGGCCTCAGCTATGACCCACCTTGATTTTACGCCGACCATCGATAGATGTGCATCTCAAACCAACTCACAACTACCGAGGTTTGCTGGCCCGGAAGGTGGTGAAGTCAATGACTTCCGTTAAGTAGATTTTATCGTCGAGAAATGTTACGGGAACCCTCGATGGACAGATATTTCCGACCTCATTCGTCTTAACATCTCAACGGGATCTACTATCGCTATCTGTGTCCCACTACGGCCTTACGCCAAGTGGTGGACCCTTTTTCTTTCACATTTACAAACACAACCATACATAATTCGCAACAATGAGAACACATTCTTACGACATGGAACCACTCCGGTCGGCCGTCCTACCTGGCTTTACACTTTGGTGGCCAAAATCGGCCCCCTCTACTCTTCCGTCGCCCGTAATGCTGATCTCTGCTCAGCCATCGAATCCGTCCGCGCTAATACAGAATTTCCAAAACACTGTAGGATATGTATCGAGGGTAAATTTAAGCGAAAAACCAGTACAGCATGCCACATCAGACTCTATCTACGGACCGGCGGCCGATATGAAAACAAATACGCTCTAAACTTGATATGTGACGGGACGAAATTTGGAATTCGCAGTAATTTACCTAACAAGAAGACCATTAGTAATGAAAAGCCCTTCTCGTCCAAATACCGTCTCACTATAAGCCCCGCCGGCTTATTGCTGGCGGGGACAGCGTGTTCCATTGCTTCTTGATCGCGGCATGGCACTCAATCGTACGCCTGCTCATACACCCCAACTTAACGGAAAAGTCGAGAGGGCGCATGATACACTTAATCAATTAACGCGCACATTACTTATCGATTCTAAACAGTCTCTTTCCTTGTGGAGCCTCGTTGAAGCTTTTGCTGACCTTATTCGGAATGAGAATCTCGCCACTAATGAACTCCTACACTCCCCGGCGGACAAATGGCATCAGACCATCGTCCCCTGTTTTCCACGCTCCGCTATGGATGCATTGTAGTTTTTAAAATTGAAGGGGCTCCTCTCAAGGGCAAACACAAGTATGAATCTCAGATCGGCCATGGTGTACTAATGGGCAGAGCACCCCACTGTACACCGGATACGTGGCTTATACACAACCTCGCCACCCAGCGCCTGATTAATTCTCGGAATGTGAAATTTCTCTCTTATCACATCCCTCAGTGGGATGCCACAGGCAAGAAGGCTCGCCTCAGTACTAACCCTACAGGTTATAATATACTCGTTGCTTGGTACGAGCTCTTTTCTAATAGTGCGGCGCCACTCCCTTAAGTACCCCATTTACCACCCTTCGTTGGTAAATGGGGTACATAAGGGAGTGGGAATCACCGCCTCTCACTATTCTCCAGGCACCACGACCGACTCGTACTACCTCACGCCCTGCTACGGCCACAGACCCGGCTCCTGACCCCACACCTGCCCCTGCTCCCGCCCCAAACCGTCTCTCTGCCCGTGAGGCTCTCGCCAACTCTATCGCCGCTGCTAAACAATCAATTGTCGATATTACTGACACCATTGCTACTTCTTTTCCCATTTCCCCCCATCTCAATTCTGATATTTCTCAGGAATCGACGACTTACCCATCTTTAAACCCGGATTTCAACCGGTATATCACGGAGTACCAGACTCAACGTGAGATCGATGACATGTCCCTTGACGCCTCCCTTCCAACCGTCTTGCATGATAGCCAACTCTCCACCTTTGCCCAACACTATTCCGATCGTGAATCAGTTACAGATACCGTCGACGACCCTCGCCAGGATTTTGGGTTTGAACCCAACTTAGCCGCATTTGCCCCCGAACCTTATGTTCCCAACTCCACCACCCATCATTCCGATGTTGAATTTGACTTTTCCGACGAATCTAGTACTCCAATTTGACTGACGTTACGTTCACTTTACACTACCACCTCCCCATGCTCGTTACGTGAAGCTACCGCCAACCTCGATCACACTCTCCCCAAAAGTGTCAAGCAAGCACAAAGAACCCCCGAATGGCCTTTATGGCCTTAAACAAGCCGGCCGGCTATGTAATTTAGACATAGCCAAACGTTTCAAATCTATTGGTTTCCAACAAAGTGACGCGGACGAAAGCATCTAGTACCACTCAATCCATCACATAATTGTCGCACTTTATGTGGACGAAATTGTTCCCGCCGTGCAGTGGGACTCAGGCAAAGGAAAAGTGGTTATTTACTCATATTTCTAAATTTTACTCGATGAAAAACCTTGGCAGAGTTCGTCATTTGGTTGGCCTGCGGATCAAACAACATATTGACCGCATCGAAATCGACCCACAGGCATACATAGACCACATGCTTGACTCGTTCCAACTGCATGACGCTATACCGAAACATACTCCAGGTACTACCCACCACCCTGCTGATTCCGACGCGGCCCCATACACCGGATGTGACTTCCATCAACATTTTGGTGCGCTCGGGTTTGCCGCCAATTTAACTCGCGTAGACATTGCTGCTACGTTCAATCAGCTTGCCGCTTTCGCTACTAAGCCCATTACAGAACACATGATAGCCCTCTAACGCATTTTACAATACCTCAAGGCTACAAAGACATTCAAGATTACATACCGTCGCAAAACAGTCGGGTTTTAGGGTTTAGGGGGTTTTTTTTTTGGAAAAGTGCCAAGCAAAAGACTGTTGCAATTAGCTCCACAGAAGCGGAGTATGTTGCCGCCTCCGAAACCGTCTGCCACATTGCCGGGGCTTGCAACATTCTTCATGCCATGTGTCACACGTTTACACTACCTACAACTCTACACTGCGATAACCAAAGCGCTATGAAGGTTGCACAAGGTACTGGCACCCCTAAAGGGTTGATACACACAGATATGCGCACACACTATATTGGAGATTGTGTTCGCAATAACATTATAGATATCATATACATCAACACTAGCGATAATCTTGCCGATCTCCTCACCAAGTCTCTCCCTCGACTTCAGCTTGAATTTCTTCGTAATTCACTTATGTCACTTCACTGAGATGTTTACGATTCAGGGAGGGTTTTGGGCTACACCCAGGGTTTTAGAATCACAAACATAATTTCTATCGGTAAATTAAGTTTACAAAAACTTATTTACATTTATACAAACATACCAGAATATATTTAATATTACTACTATTATATATATATATATGACACCAAAATATAATAAAGACACGTCTTCAGAAATAAGATTTATACTGTCTTTTAGGAGTGGCTTTTTTTATCGTGTGATAAAAATTGCATAAATTTTACTTAGCCTAACCTGTGAGGAACGTAATGTAATAAATACAGTAGTTCAGCTACTTAAAAATGTGGTCGAAACCAAGCAACACTTAATAGAGGGTGTGAAGTCTGTGAAAATAAGTGAATTCAGTCAGAAGTGCCATTGAGAATGGCGCGCCTGCTATATTTATTAATCACGATTCTATGTGGAACGAGACTTTCTCTACCATCGGGGTATGTGGAAATACCAGTCTCTATGGTTTCGTATGAGTCATCACTTCTATCTCAATAAATTCGCTGTTCCACTAGTCGGTCCGGTTCTTCAGCCAGGTCCTCTGGTCCGGTCCTAAAACCCCCTAGGTCCGGTCCTCTGGTCCGGTCATAAATTGCTCTCTCAGGTCCGATCCTCATGTATGGTCCTAAATATCCACCTAGGGTACTTTGTCCACAAGCCCATGCAAGTTGCATGTTGTTACGATCGTGACAACGGTTCAATAAGTATTATCTCAGCTGTATTGTTGGTGGGTGCTTGTGTTGCATTAATATTAGACTTACGGATATCAAACGCTCTAGTCTCTTCCAATTTTGCTATGTATCGGTAGAGAGGTTCTACTTAGTGGTATCTGAAAGAGAATGTGACCACCTACGCTGTGCTTCCAAAGTGTCATACTGTATATTATAGTGGAATACGTGATACAAGAACATGTTTCTTTCACGGTTGACAGAGATAGGCCCGTCTAGAGACAAAACAGTAGACTAAAATAGTAATAGTTACATAATTCAACAATTAAAAATAAATCGCTATGGTGAGATAGCGTCCGTACCCTGCTTATAAAGGTCAACTTGAAAGATATCACCTTCAGGTTGTGTTAGTGACCTATATTCGAATACCTGTTTGATGTGTTTAGACGAAACCAACCAACTTAGTACTAAGTTGGTTGAGTAATTCATTTAGCTAATTTACTGCTAAAAGCTAGAACAGAGTTGTCACTCCAACTAGGAGTAAATATTAAAATAAACACTCGCACAATTACATGTATGCATTGTTTTCCCAAAATATCGAAACCATATATAGTACAATATTATTGAACTCCACAATCTTATGTTATCCCCAACTCATAGCGTCTAAACCACACATATCGCCACGAGTATGGTTATATTTTCTATCTGTAGCTGGCTTACAGAACAGGCCGAATCCACTTTTACGCACTGTCTATATTCCTAAATAATAATATTTACTGATTATTCTATATCTTACGTTACATCTGTCTAACTTTCAAATCAAGCTCTACATGATTGCCTACAAATTATATTCCTAAATAATAATATGTACTGATTATTCTATATATCGCGTTATATCTGCAGAACTTTAGAAGCAATCTCTACATGATGGTCTCATAATTAGTCACTGAGAGCGTTATCATGGTTTACAGCGCCGCATAAAAAGTGGCGACACGTTTTTTTTGGCTATACCACCAATATCCTTGCTTGTTACAATCACAATGTAGAGGGGTGTAGAAAAAAAAGCATATGAAAACACAGCTGTGTGGAAATTAAAACAACTGGAGCTTATTCCGAGGTGATTTTATCGCCATTTAGTTGTTGTGTTACCTCTTTACAATACAAGGGATACATATATAGTTTTTAGCCCACAAATTTAACCCTGGGCCTACACGTTATGTCCTGTTTAAAACGTTGTTACATAAGGCGACCCAAAAGAAAAAAAAATGAGGTTCTGCCCAGCTTTATTTCTCAGGTTTGCAATCAAACCTTGCCAGATTAACTTGCTTCATCAGGAACACAAAATAATACACTCATCTACTTCTGTAGTGATACTTTTCGTTTTGAAAACTATTTGTACAAAATTTTTCACTTTGATGTTTAAAATTAAAGACAACATCATTAAACATGGCCCTCTGGATTAAAATCTCGAGCGAAAATCCGGTTTTTCTATGCGACATCGCAAATATAGCGCAGACCCTAATCCAGAGGGCATTGTATAAACCCAATTCATATTTGAAATATATTTTATTTTACTTTGGCGCCGTAATTTCTGTTAATTACAGGGTAACGAACGAGCCTAGTACAACTAATTATAGGAGTTATCAAACTTCATCCTGGATTCTACGAAAGCCTGATCTCCCGGTGATCTCCGATTCAATCAAGACTTGGCTATGTCCTCCTTCGCGATGTTTCACCCCTCAGTCAACTGTCAGCTAGACGACGAGACAGTATGGTCACGTCCCATCAAGCATCTAATTTGTACACTCAAATATGTCTTGTAGCTCTGGCGGCAAGGGTAATCGATAGTTTGTAACGCATACTGGTCCCCTCCCGTCAAGATTAGCCCCAAGCTGTTAGTGTAGAACCTCAGCTGTTTAGTACACAATTATACCGAAATCTAGGTCCAACCGTCTTCCAATTTACAATCCACTCAGCTCCCAACTGGGTCAGTTGGTGCGGTACACGACTTGGTATTTACTATTTAGACCCCAAGTTCGAATTTCGCTCAGGAATTGAAAATATAATGTTCTCGCTCATGACTTATCCGACCAGAGTGCAGAACGCGCAGTCGCCCACCCACAGTGACACCGACCTTGAATATCCGAGCGAAAAACTGGCGAAAATTAGGTTGAGACGGTCCGTAGTCCGTACCGGCCGGCAAAAGGACGACTACCGACCCAATTGGATATAAAACTACCTGACTCACGATACTAGTCAATAATAAAGCGTTCCCATTGGTTAATAATAGAGTATGCCACTGCCATCTTGAAATAAATAAGATTAACCCTACTGTAGTACCATCGACCAATGAATATAATTAGTAGGGTTTGTCATACCAATCACAATTGAGAATTGTGCTGGCTTGCCGTTCATGAAAGGATTTCTTTCACTGTATATATACCAAAACCGGAAAGTGACGGAAACCCAACATATTTTAAAATTCAACAAACAAAAGTCTTTTTTTATATGTATTTACATCATGAATGCATCATTTATATATACACATATGTAGGAGCACAAATGACGACGTATATGGTAGCAATCTGAACTGCATTTCCGCCACAATTCAACATGATGCAACCATTATTAAGAAATACATTTGCATATGCTTCTAGCCGATCCGCGATAAGTAGATGTGGGACGCTGAAATTAAGTGTCCGCCTGCTCTCGAGCAGCTACACCAATCTGAAGATATGTCGGTACCGTGAACTGGTTGCTGACACCCCAATGGTGGATCTGACGCATTTAGTTGCGAAAGATGCCAACTCTGAATTGGCGAACAGTAATGTCCGCGTGTTTGCGAAGGTTGAGTTTCTGAATCCAGGATTTTCTATAAAGGATCGCATTGTGCAGAACATCCTTAATAAAGCAGAAGATGAGGGGAAATTAAAGAAAGGTATGATTGCAGTGGCCGCGTCGTCTGGCAATACTGGTGCGTCAACCGCCATGATGTGTGCTATGCGTGGTTACGAGTGCATCATCACTACCAGTCCGAAGTGTAGCAAAGAGAAAATGGATGCCATCAAGGCCTATGGGGCTAAACTTCTCGTTTCAGAGCCCGGTGTGGAGGAGGGTGACCCAAAACACTACATAGAGATGGCCAGACTTATGGCACTTGAGGACCCAGAGCTTTACTTCGATATCGACCAGTACGATACTCTCAGTAATCCAGAGGGCCACTTCCTGACCCTTGGTCCCGAGATTTGGCAGCAAACTAACGGATTAGTAACCCACTTTGTAGCCGCAGGCAGTACTGGAGGAACGATATCGGGAACTGCAAAATATCTGAAGCAGCAGAATCCCGAGGTGAAAGCTGTACTAGCTGACCCCGTGGGCTCGATTTTTACAGAGTACTTTAAAAAGGGTAGCTACGGGAAGCCCAAAGATTTTCTGGTGGAGGGTGTCGGCAAAGGAACCATTCCTGGGGCGATGAACTTCGATATAATTGACGACGTTATACCCGTGAATGATCAGGAAGCGTTCGACACGTGCTTCAGACTTTCACGCAAGGAGGGGATCTGCGCAGGTGGCAGTTCAGGGCTGAATGTATTTGCGTCACTCCAGCTAGCTGCGTCTTTAGACCCAAATACACCCGCTGTCATTGTTACTGTACTGCCGGATTTGGGTGTGAAGTATTTGAGTAAATTTTACAATGATGAGTGGCTGACAGAAAATGGCTTAAAACCACCATCCGCCGGCCAAATATAGAAGAGTGCATCTAGAAGAATTGGCGCTGAGGGGTATCTTTCATACAGGAAGGTAGTATGACACTTCATACTCGATTTGCTGCGCTGTACGTGGATGAGAAGGATGCGTGTTGATCACCGGTAATACCTGGCTTGCAATGGGTCACAAGGGTACCTCTCGGTCACTTATATGGGATGGACGGATATATGTGTTGAACCTAACATCGTTAAAGGCAACACTTTTACATAATGTGCATGTACGGATGTACATCTGATCACGGTTACATACATATATGAGTGTATATACACGTCTCTACCAATACAAACACAATTGTTTGCAGAAATGTATTGTAGAATGTATTCTTACGGTTGGAGGATCGCTCAACGCTCACTTATATTATGTTAGCGCGTTGAAACAATCTTATACTATATCTTGGGAAGTGCTATTGAATTCCTTATGCAGAAAAATCTTGAGATTAATCCCACATACATGGTCATTAATAACCTTGGCAAAAGTTCGAAGCATAAAAGAACGAGGTTGGTGTCATATACCAGAAGACCAGGAGCACTTGTTTTAATCAGTCAATGTGTTCTTAATGTCGAAATGGAAATAAAGGTTCTCCTCGGTTGATTTAGTACTCTTTATTGCTCACCATGCACATTGTAAAAGTAACAACTAAATGTTTGGGAATGTCTTTCGAGCTGCCAGCTTTTATGTAGAGTTGTCGACCAAATGCTATTCCGCATATTCCCTTCTCAAATATATCAAAGACTATTAAATCTTGAATTATACCTTGAATATCAAATGAGAAATGACTTAGCTGGTTTATGTATAGTTTCCAAATCAGTACAAATACGCTTTTTTTCAATTTAGATCACCATTTGTCAGCGATACACTTTTCTAGTCAGTGACAAATATGTCATCCTTAGCGCTAGCGTCGTAGCACTCTATTTCTGTGAAGTGCATTTCTTCATCGACGGATTTCAGAACGAATTCGTGTCGGAACACCTCGTGCGCGTGCTTTATCAAATTTTAAACAGGCCTGCCTTCATTTGTGTGCACCCACGTGGAATTTCATCGTACGAACAAAGTAATTATATAGATGTTTTATATACGAGCCTGCTCTTACTAACTTAAAGGGCGTTCATGTGGACGTGGACCAGATCACAAATATCTCATCTGCGTGCCTTCTCAAATGTTTTCTTATATTTTATTTCCATGATGTTTGTGAGTTTAATCTACTATTTTTTCGCTTTCTTATTTCCACCTACACTAAATGATTTGAGCGGATCGCTCGACGGCCTCTTCTTATCTCCGGCCTTCTTATACTGAGGAAACAGAGAACGAGGCGTATGTAGTACAGATTAGTGTTCGCGCTTATACACTCACAAAAGCTTTGGCGAAAGCCATTTCTACAGTGAGCGTCAGAATTGATATACGAGTGCTTTGTGCACAACCATAAGTTCAATGTATCGTGGGCCATCGATCGCATTATCATCGGAAGCAAGCACATTCACCCCAGAAACCAAATATTACAACCAGTAAATGCTATCTGATATTCATAACACATACCTTTCTTTTATGTGCGCTATGTTTACTTTTCAGATTTCTGGCATGACTAAACTCTCCTCCAGCTGGAGCACTTCCGGCGTACAACGCCTCTTTCTCCTGCAATATGGCCACTTTTGACGGCATCAAATAACTGGGGATGTGTTTCAGACCCAAGTTAACCTTCTTTGTGTCAAGTACATCGTTATGCCTTAAAACCTGGTGGAAAGTATTGTCGGGCAGGATGAGTTTGTAAGGTTTAGATAGGGCTTAAAACGCTAAAATTGCGGGCGACCATTATAACTTGCCGAACAAGGTGTATGACATACAGGTATTGGATAATTACAGAGAAAATAAATAAGAAATCAATCATACCTGGTAGTCCCTCGGATTCTCAGCGAAATAGTCCTTCAGTTTTTGTGAATTTAAAATCTCTGTTCTAATTTCCCGTAGTCGTGCTTGTTTGATGGCTCCCCTCGTGAGCGTGGTAATCGCGGCATCAACTCTGTATTTCAAGCCCTTGATTTTGGTCATGGAGAAGGCATACGGTCGCAGCACACTCTCCTTTTGACTCGTCTCATGGTTGTGAACTGTTATGTTATAAATCAAACGGTAAGTCAGAAGTATCTCGCTGGCACTTAAGACTTCGGACTTGAATACACGAACAAAGGACCATGTATCCCCTATCTGAGTCATTAGTCATATTGCACCCACAAAAAAATTAAGACAGCAGCAGAATCGCACGCAGACACTACAATGAAGAAAACAATTGCCATCACACTATAGTATAACACCTGAACGTACTGATCAACCTGACAGACGCACACCACTTACTTTTCAGTTTCTTCTCGATTTTAGCAAGAACCTCTCTGTGTTCAGGCTGTGTAACAAATGATATGGCATTTCCCGCCTTGCCGGCACGCGCTGTCCTTCCCACACGGTGGATATATGCATTGGAATGAACGGGGAAGTCCACATTTACCACCCAATTGACATCATTGAAATCCACTCCTCTTGTTACCTACAAAGTATTGGTTAGGGTAAGTGAACAAACAAAGGGTGAGGATTTCACCAATGTACAAGAATAGGGCTTATTCGGAGGCCATCACACATTTGGTATTTCTCGATAAGGATAGGAAACAGACGGGACCGACAGAATGCGAGTAAGTACAAGATCGAACCACACATATAGAAGCACAAATCGATATACACGATAACGAGAAGTGTTTACAAGCGGTTTCGAGGTGTCTGCATCACCTAGAGCCTTCGATGTACAGGACAGGTAGACCGAAAATAAATAAATCAAGAACACTTACTCCATATTCGCCGTCTTTTTGATTATTCTTGCGTTTTCGCTTCTTCTTCCCCTCCATCACATTGCTCTTCTCCTTCACTACTCGAACCTCCTCCATCACATTCTCCTCATCCTTATCGTCTTTTCCATCAGTCTTCTCACTACTGCCTGATGCTTCTGTCGTTGTCTCATTCGTGTCTGCGGTGCTTGCAATGTTCTCCACACACACTTCGGATGCAACAGCCTGTGTCCCTCTGAGAGTGGTCAGGTCTTCTTCATCGTCACTGTCGTCTTCATCTGCCAGTGCGCTATTTTCATCTGAAGCGATAATGATATCATATACGCCTTTATTGAACTCCTGCACAATATGCTGGCGTGAGTTGTGAGGTAATTCACTGTTCAGCACGCAGGCTTTGATCGAGAAGTGATCCAGGAATAGCTTGAGTCTGTAGACTTCCGTAATAGAATTCACAAACAGTAGAATTTTACCGTTGATGAGTTTGAATATAAGCATCGAGTAGAGAATTAGATATTTCTCCTTGTCTTCGCATCTGATGATATGTTGCGCCAAGCGCGAGTCCTCCGGCAGGTGACTCTCATTCAACCTCAGGATGGCTGGATTGGTTTGCACGATTTCTCGCAGCGCTTCTACATCCTATATGGAATGGTATCAGGAACAAGAAGAAGATATCTCAGAATTTATATAGGACATCAGAATCAATCAAAGAATCCGAAGGCATGCATGTTACTGTCAAATATTTCACCAACTTGGGGCAAAAATTCAGAATCAAATTTCAAGCCTATACGATCGAAAGGCGGACACACACATGTTGCGATTGAAAGCAGAAAAGCCATGAAATACCTTCGTCATTGTTGCAGACATGAGATATGACTGGTATCCCACTGTGAGGTGAGCCAGAAGTGTTCGCACATCGTTCTCGTAACCAAACGAGAACAACAAGTCAGCTTCGTCCACCACCACGCTGTGGACAGACTTTACGTCAACATTCTGAAATTATGCCCGAGGATAAGATATCGTAAGTATGTATTTTTTTGATAAACTAACGCCACCTAGATATGTACAAAATTGCAAGTGTGAATGGTGAAGAAATCATGAATCGCAATTTATCGGGATGTAGAAAGTTTGTTGCGGGTTGGAAACAAATACAACATACAGTCTCGAAAAGCATCTGCAAGTTCAAAAGAAGATCTGATCACACACACCTTAGCATTGATGTGGGCAAGAATACGGGTGGGAGTACCGATTAGGATATCCGATGCTTGCAGGAGTGCGGCCTTCTGTTCTTCTACTTCCACAGTGGATGACACAGCGGTCACAGCCACAAGCTTGGAGCAGTACAGCGTGAGTTCACGTACTTGTTTATGTACCTGGTGAGATAAATTGCGAGCAAGTGTGAGGATTTGATGAGTTCGATGCCCACTTCGATATAAGTATGTACAAGATCATGGACAGCAAGCGTAAATGCATATCTACATATACAGTTGTGAGCAGAACGCACAACATGATACATATTACGATCGCATATGTGCAGTATCTGCACTTACATATTTACTCAGTTATAGTAAGGTACGAGTTTACATGTGGACACGACGACACACTAATGTTGATATACGTGAGTGTAACGCACCCAGCCTCCGTCTACTAGTGAAGCAAGTGGAAAGTCTAATTTGGTCAAAGCAGATTGGGGCGATGTTAGACGGATACAAGGCTTCGAGTACACACACACACATATATATACATATACATTTAATACTCTGATATCGTGATGAGATATTATATTGCATTATATAGGCACGAACGCTATGGTTGTAGTGTGGAAACAGATGCGTCAATAAATGCAGAACATACTGGTTTTTGCGTCCACCAGCCAGAAAGTACTTCGTTCAAATAAATCAAATATTTATAGACGTGCATGCTTGCATCTATAGCACAATGGTATATATGATATATTGACAGATTCGTTAGACTTCTAAGTATGATAAATCAAGTATCGCATCAGACAAATTACGAAAATTGAGAATCATATCTGCATATAAACAAGGATATACATCTTTTGGTGTTTTGGGCCTTTTCGTGCCTCGCGTTGACCGCCAACTAATATTCAAGCCCAAAGCATAGCAGCGATATACGAAGTCACGAACGTTATTGTCCTTCCATAAGTACGCAATTTTGGCCGACGCATTGGAATATAAGGTAGAATAGGTACACACAAACACACACGAACCACCATGTGAGTGCAAAAATATAAATCGTGTATATTGTTGGATGCATCCGTACACATTATGATATACCAATAAGAGTGAGATACACTGAATGTTCAATTGAAAATCAATCACACTTGCTACAGCCATGAGTATGCATTTGTATCTACGACTTCTCAACAACGAGCACACTCGTTAAAAACAAAGAGATGAAACCCTTTAAGTAAACATTTCTATAAAACACATGTATTTAAAATGTATGAATATGATATAAAATACAAACTGGAAAACCGCTTCTGAAAGGTAATTGAGAAACATCTACACACTTGTCCGCAACTTACGCAAATACACATGTAATGTGTAAAATCTAATGACGTGTACCACCTCTAGAACTCGATAAAAATATACACACATCATTTGTCCGTCAACTATGTAGAAGTATACGTTATTTCATAACACATAAATGAGCCTTGGCGTGTGCAAATTCTAAGCAAGCCCAACCTAGAGTATACGCGCAAAGATACCTTTTCTATACGAAGTTGTACTTGCATATATACTATGCGTGTATAACGTATATGACCACAAGCATGCCAATGCTAGTCGTAGAATATAGAATATACACAAACGATCACTAGATCGCTGCACCATGCACAAGTAAACATGGATAGAATGTGAATGCACTTGGACTATACAAACATACGTATACGGGGGCCAACATACGAGTATATACACACTCATATTAATGTGTATAAAAATATGTGACATACATACAAATATATATTCCTACATTCGCTGGTAAGGATACTATATACAAGTAAATATATTTATACATACTCCTGTATTTACTGGCACACAAATATATAACTATATATATGTGCACAAATATATATATATAATTATGTATATAAATATATACATATATGTGTATATTTACGCATATCACTGTAATTACTAGTAAAAATATCATAAATATATATACACACACATATATACATACACACACACACATATATATACAGATATAGATATATACATAAATATATAAATATACATACATATATGTATATATATATACATATATACATACATATATATATATATACACACACACACTCTCTCACACACACTCTCTCTCACACATACGCACATACACACACACACACACTCTCTCTCTCACACATACGCACACACACACACTCTCTCTCACATACGCACACACACATATATATGTATGTATACATACATATTGAAATAATAAATATATTGTCATGTATATGATCATAAGAATATTCCACACATATTTCCGAGATGATTCCACTTTGATAATAAAGCAGAAGCACATAGTTACCAGATATTCGCTAGATATGTAATCAATGGCGAATTTTAAAAGAATTTTATTCAAGCATAAACAACTTCGAGATTCGTTAGAATAACACATTTTACGTACATACCTGTTCACATAACTCCTTCGTAGGTACGAGCAGAAGGGCCCTAACACTCCGCTTGCTGTTCCCATCGGTCTGCTTCTCCAGCAGTATTCTATTTATAATCGGCAGAGCGTATGTGGCCGTCTTACCACTGCCCGTACGTGCACGTGCCAAAAGATCCCTTCCAGCCAAAGCCAATGGTATACCCTTAGACTGAATAAGTGTAGGGTACTGCCAGCCCAGCTTTTCTACTGCACTCAGCAATCGATCGTCTAGGGCTAGGGATGAAAACTTAGCCTGATCTGCATCTTTGGTTGCTGCTGGTAGTATATTGGATTGCGGCGATTCTTTTACTTTACTATCGACCGACATTGTTTACGTGTTTGTTGTGTTGTTTCCGGTGTGTATATTGGTTTCTAGTTTTCTAGTTGTCTTAGGCTGAACTAACAGTCACTACACTCCTCACTTCTACGACAGTATGTGATTACTGTCAAAGCGTTCAGCGATGCTTTGTGTGCAATTGCGGTGACTTTCAAATATACAAGCATATATTGTTGATCTTACATACAATGCAATCAGTGAAGCGTTTTCATATATACACATCAATAGGGTACTATAATTACTATTTGGAGGGACAACTTGCCATCGATAAGTATTAAGAGTAGCTTCACGTGTTTTACTCGCTTGCAATACTAAATTCTGATATTAGGTTTTACTGATTTTTCGTTTGGGTTTTTAGTTTTTACCACACTAAAGAGAAGATTGAGTTTATAGATTTGTATTTTTTTATTTGTTGAAAAAATATATTTCAACTAAATTAAAATAAACAGTGTGGTTTTGACTGTAGTTTACGACGTTTGTTTTTGATTTAAATATTGGTTTTTTAACGACAACCCAAACGGAAATACAAAAGTTCAGTGTCGATGACTTGTAGGCTCAGTCTCAGTGATAGTAGTTTTAGTACATTTTTATTTATTACCGACGTAGTATGCGACATAATAACAACATTTAAAATATAACCATGTGTACCGATTATGGCCGGGGACTGTGTTGAGCCCGCAGATTCCACGAGGCGTTTTAGTCACAAAGTATAACAGTGACGGCAAAAGGAAACACAGCCTCCTTTTACTAAGCGGATAGGTACGTAGTTCTTGTGTTATAGAGGTTTATAGTGTGCGTAGTACAATATTCCCAGATTTAGCACATACATATACTTGTCATTCTGAGGCGATCAGCAAAGGTACGGAAAGTCGTATGTCCAAATGGAACCAGAACAAGTACACAGTCAGAATACAGAAAAATCGTATATGTGCATGGACATCAGCACTGCAGAAACAACAATAACAACATATACTCACAAAATGAGCTTCACTGCTTGAAAGGGTGTAAACGAATGCATCTACAGTATTTATAACAAAATATCGAAAATACTGCAGGAACACAGCTGCATCAAGAACAACTCTGTGCGCAGATACACGAATATGCATGCGCTGTTATCAAACGAAAACGGAGAGCTACTCGTGTTTTAGCGACACTCACAGTATTACACAGCAATGTACCGTACTCATTATAGATCAACAAGTAGAGAGTACTAGTCGAATTGCCGATGAGGATAAAACAATTCACATAACTATAGTTTGAGCATTGCGCTGAGAACACAAATTCTGCAATTCTGAGGCATAGTTCGACTGGCTCATCTCCACACAAATACACACATACCGACAAGCACATGACGCCTTCATTATTCTAAACAGCATCTCGGTTGTATTGTATCTTTTTCTTCGCTTCAGCTGTTCTTGACATATTTATTAACATGTCTGCTATGTAACCATCATTTCTCCATTAGAATTATTCACTATGAAGTTCAACACGGACGTATCCTCGTCCCGCCGAAAATGCCGAAAGGCTCACTTCGCTGCCCCCTCATCAGTGAGACGCACTCTTATGAGCGCTCCCCTCTCCAAGGAGTTGCGAACTAAGTACAACGTCCGGTATGTCTTGTTAAGTATTTATTTTGGTTTCTTCGCACATTTGGTGTGCATGTTGCTTTTCGACACTTTGCTTCCTGTGATTATATTCTTCTGTTGCCTTCCTCCGCATTAGATGTCGAACCTCTATGCCGACATTACAACTATGTATGAACCAAGCAAAATCACGTTTTATTTCATGCGATCCATTTGCCTGCAAGCTCTGACCATGGTATATTTCCTGTGTATCGTATGAATGTACGTACATATAGATCCATCCCCGTTCGCAAGGATGACGAGGTTACAGTTACACGTGGACGCTTCAAGGGACAGTCCGGCAAGGTCACTGCCGTGTACCGTAAGAAATGGGTTCTTCAAATCGAACGTCTTAATCGTGAGAAGGCGAACGGCATGAGTGTACCCGTCGGTATCGATGCGTCCAAGGTATGAAATATGTTATCGGATGTGGTATTAGCTTTCCTTTTGCTTCCAATGATTATACTTTTCTGTTGCCTTCCTCCGCATTAGATGCCAAACCTCTATGCCGACATTACAACTACGAATGAACCAAGCATACAACCCATTGTACTACTATGTACCCTGTATCAATCACTTGCTCAATGATACATACCTTCTCCACGCGCATCTGAACTCAACAGGTCGAGGTGAACAAGCTTTCACTGGATAAGGATCGAAAGGCTATCCTTGAGCGCAAGAACCGTGACACTAAGGAGTAAATAGGATATAATAATATATGACTATTAAATTCACATTCTGCCAAATATCGCGTGGTGTTGCTGGATATTGCCACGAGGTTTGGTTTTCTAGGTGGATGTGTGCGTGTGATATACTTGTGATACCACAATTTACTTTATCTTATGAACACAAATATATTTGGCGCGAATGCTGATTATATATGATTATATATGTATATCATGCATGATTATATAAATATATATTTATATCTCGATGCATTGGCTATTTGTCAACGTGTTCAAATTGCGTCGTTTTTTGTTGAAGTAGTCTAAATGGATAAATATATATATATGCATTGTATGGATATATATGTGTATACATATCTTTATGTATGTATATATATACATTTATTAAATATATGTATATATTTATCTCTATATATACATATATATATATATATATATATATATATATACACATTTATATTTATATATAATACATATATATTTAAATATTTTATATATATATTTATATATATTTATATATACATATTTATTTATATTTATTAATATAATAGTATATATATTGATATATATATATGAATATGGATATGAACATGAATATGTTTGAATTTATACATTTGTAAGTTTAACAAATTTTAATTGTATATTTGTTTATACAAGCATATAAATATATATATATATATGTACATGTTAAGGTTTATGTTTAAGTATATTTTTATTATATATATGTATATATATATAAATATATATATATATAGATATATAGATATTTTATCTATATACCATATATATATGTATATATATATATGTATTATGGTATATAGTGAATATGTATATATATATTATTTAGTAAG